GTGCATGTAACTTGGATCTCAGACACTTTCCATGATGGTTCCTGTAAATGGGGCTGAGCTGCTATTTGCCTTTTCTCTCAGAACCAAGCCAAGAGCTATCGCTTCACTGTCACTCTTAAGCCATCTTTCCTATACCTGAATCTAGCTAGTAAAATAGACAAGCCTCAGGTGGCTGCCCAGTGGGGATATACTCTAGTGAAAGTCATCTGCATAGACCTCTGAAGAGTCAGTAATACTGTCCCAAACCTTCTATGCCATGAGCGCTTTTGCCTGTAAATGTGCTATTTTCTTGAGTTACAGAAGCAAGATGGACAGAGACTCTTGCTAGGTGGTTCTCCCTAGCTGTGGTTCTCCAGTGGGTAAGAGCTTGGAGATGTTACTCTCCAGAAGCATTTAGTTACAAGGTGACCAAAAGTGACAGCTGCTGCCTGTTGCTTTCTGGCATCTAGCACATGGCAATGCCAAACCCTGAGTAATGCTGCCTGAGACCTGGAGCAGTGCTAGGCAGCAGGGCTTTCCCAGCAGTTTTCCAAAGAAACAGGAACTAGTTGGCTAACATTGGCTTTCATCTGGGCAAGAGATGAGGAAAGACTAACTCCCACTTAGGAAGCACAAACTACACCAATGGGTTGTGTAACTAAACAGCCAGTCAGCCTGGGGTCAGTCTGCTTCCCGTTTGTGCAGGTAATGGTGGTTCATAGGACAGCTGAACCTGCCTGTAGTGCTTATACTATCTTAGCACACTTGCATGGTTGTCCTGTTGTTCCCAGCAGTTGAGGCAGCCTAGATATCACTGCTGCACCTTCTCTATGCTGCTGCCTCTTCTGTTGCTACTGCCTTCTCGTTTTCTGGTCCCTCTCAGTAGCTGAGAGTTCTTGGCTGACCTTAGGACTTGTAGCAAGGAAGGTATTCTCAGAGACTAGAACCCAGCACAAGTTCAGTGATGGCAGGTTAGGCTAGTGCACCTAGATAGACAGATAGTAGCTGTGTAGATTTTTAGAAGCAATATACACAAACTTTTATGGCATAATGTTGTGGTCTTTGGCAAATCAGTTTAGAATCAAACCACCTGCTAGCAGTGTGGAAATCAACAGCTGTGAAGAGATTTCTGAACAGGAAGACCCTGAACCTGGCTTCTCCTGGCTGTGTGGCAGTGGGATAGCTTTGTGGACAGGAAAGTGTTTTCTCTCCTTTGAACTGTGCTGCGAGAAGACTTGGGCTAGCAGAGTTGCCTTTGCAGTACTGAGGTGCTGCTGGCATGCAGACCCAAGCATTGTGTTGCTGGCTATGACAGAAGGGTCCTCCTCTAATCTCTCTCCTCTTTGGGGAGAGGAGGGAGAGAATTCTTTCAAACAAGCTTCCTGAAATATGATTTTTGTGATGGTGAAACAAGGAAAGTCTGAGCCAAGAGGCTGCTGTCCCCTAAATCTCTCCCTGCCTCCCCATTTCCTGGACACCTGCGATGGCAACATGCTCTGTAGAGTAGTTTCTGCCTGGACAGACTTTGACTGCAGCAAGATACCAGGGCTGCAGCTTGCACTTGTTTAACTGTCTTGTGTTTTTAGCGGCAAACAGTCAATCGCCATCGACGACTGCACTTTCCACCAGTGTGTGAGGCTCAGCAAGTTTGACTCTGAGAGGAGCATCAGCTTCATTCCACCAGATGGAGAGTTTGAGCTCATGAGGTACTGTGGTTGGGGATGAACAGGCTGGTGTTGGCATCTGCTTGCTGCTGCAGTAGCATTGCTGCTCTGAGGCAGACTTGCAGCCCTTGAGCACCTAACAAATATGCACTTGCCTTGTTTTCAGAGTGGAATCTGTAGGGTTGTCCTGGGTGTCCCACAAATCCTTCTGTTACAAATGTGGTAGAAGCCCAGCTGCATGGTTTTCTTTGCCACAGCCATAGTGTTAGATGTGGGTTTCCTTACCCTTTAGCTTGCAGTATCTGGTTTTTTAGTGCTTAAAACTGGTGTCCTTGAACATAGGCCATTGGCAGGAACCAGATATAAAACTTGGGAATTGAGAAACCATCACTGCCCTATGGCAGCACAGATCTTACTGCTGCTTCCTTCTGGAATGGCTTCCTTTCTGGCTGATGTTTCTAAGCTGTTCCCTGTATGCAGAGGCTATGTCTTTAGGAAGGTGGTACAATTTGAGACTGTAAGGGAGCTAACTCCTCAGAAATCACTGTTGCTTGCATCCCTGCAGATATCGAACCACTAAGGACATTATCCTTCCCTTCCGTGTGATCCCACTGGTGCGGGAGGTGGGTCGGACCAAGCTGGAAGTGAAGGTGGTGATCAAATCAAATTTCAAACCTTCCTTGCTGGCCCAGAAGATAGAGGTAAGAAAATAAAAACCTATGGTGTCTTGTGCCTGGGAATTGTGCCTCTACTTTGTCCCCTGCTGCAAAGTCCTCACAGATGAGTCCTCAAGCTTGTGCAGGACTAAAAGAGCGAACAATGCCCCATGGATGTGTGGTGCTGCTGCGCTTGGAAGGGAACTGCTGTAGAGTAGGGAGGTGGATTTTGTTTTCAGTTGCACAGCCACCTTGGCAGAGGCCTCGTTATTCCCTGCAGCAACTGTTTGCTTAATGTCTTGGCCACTGTGAAAAGTTCATGTTCTTCTGTCTGCATGATCTGATGATATGTCAGACAGGCAGCAGGCTATGAGCTCTGTAAGACAGGCAAAGGGTGGCTTTGCAGCTTAGTCCCCTTCTGGGAAAGCCGTACTGCTGCAAAGCTAGGCTGTCCAGAGCCTGGTGCAACCAGACCTCCCTGGCCATCCTGGCATCCTTCCTGAGCTCGTCTGCCTGACACTAGCTGGGTTTCCTGCAGCCTGAACTGGAGGGCTCTGCCCTGTTCCTCACTGACTGTTGTGGATTCTGAAAATGTGTTTGAACCTTTTCTTCAAAGCAAGAAACTGGAGAGCTAGCTGTTGTGGTTTAACCCCACTCAGCAATTAAGCACCACGCAGCTGCTCACTCAC